TACAGAGGGTGCTGCATCTCGCTCAGTCTTAATGAGAGATTTAGAAACCTTCCTTCATCATTTCATGTGAAAAAGAAGTATCGTAATAAGCTGACTGGACAATTTTGGAAAGATAACATTTCCTAACACTGACCTGTCCAACCTACTCAACCCCATATCACCACACTGCCTCCACAGGCTTCTCTGGAAAACACTCAGTTCATAGCTGTCTCACTTTTTCTGCCATTTGCATTATCATGACAGGCTAAGTCATGGCTCATCAGAGAAAAAGACCCTTTTCAAATGCTCTAGAGTCCAATATGCATGTTTCCTGACAAACTGAAGGCTTTTTCCACCCCATTAGCCTCACTAATAAGCTGTTGTCTCTGGACTACACAGATGTTTAGTCCCAATGAAAGGCTCTGCTGCCCCGCTGCTAAAACTATGCAAGGGTGGGAACACTCTTACATTTACTAGTCAATAATGTAAGAGTGTTTCAACTCTTAGCTCCAGATTTTAAAGTGAGACAAAATCAAAAGAACTGAAAATTATCAGTGGAAACTTCTGATGCAGCAATTGATTAGCAAAGTGACAAAAATTCTTTCAATTGTTTGGTTCTGAATGGTGATCGAAAGATCTAAACCAAAAATTTTAGATATATTTTTTGGTTCATTAAAAGTTTAATGTTTTGGATGAATATATAGTAAGCATATGTAAATAGCATGGCACTTTACATTCTTTGACATTTGTGACGCAAATAAAATCATTTTCTGTTGGATTTGAAACTGTCACATCTTACAGGAAACCTGCAGCTCAGTTGTTTTTCGAACATAATCACTGAACTAAAACCAAGTTAAAAGAGTCCTTTCAATTTTTTTCATCCACATAGCACAAAAAAATTACAAAGCTTTAACTCTGAATATTTTTCTCTTTGGAGAAATAATTACGGTTTGGAACATTATGTGTCCCTAGCAATACAGTTTGAATATAATTCTACTAAATACAAAGGGAATGCACACTCGAGCTGTACACACAAGAAATTCCAAAATCACTTGTTATTGTAGGTATTATAGCTAAGACTTAAAGGGTTATTACAAGCTAAAATATGTTAATTATGATCATATTTCCCATTGGGAAAATGTATTTTGTTTAGTTAAATCCAGGTGGTTCCTTATTTCACTGCTTGCTGATTGAGTTTTATTCCCTGCAGCCAGCTCAGTCATCTGTCACATTTTAAAATAGTTCTTCATAAGGGAAAATGTACAGTTGTGCTCCTTCATAAACAAATCCATCCCTTATGTCTCATCCATGATTACCCTGAGGGAATAAATACATCCGCTGGGTTGTGCTGTCATATGCTTCTTTTTAGTACAATTTCATTTTTCACTTATTTAGAGTTCTGGTGCTTCCTCCCCAGTTTTTTCCTTATGCATCGTTCCCTTTTCTTTCCTTCCACCCACCAGCGCTCTTTCCTCGATATTCTCCATCTTTTCCCTCCCCGCCTCTGTCTCAAGATACAGAGGACTCTACAGCTTTAGAGAGTGGAGCGTGAGACAGGTCTGATGAAGCTGCCAGCTATGATGATGGTGACGATGATGATGAGAAGGTAAACAGGGGATGCTTACCTTGACATATGCAAATCTATTGACATGCCTGGTAGTTTATTTTTACTCGTTTTTCACTCTTTTGCGGCTGTATACATGATAATTCATTAATAAATATATGACATTTTGATTCCCAGCCAAACAAGGTTTCTTGGTTTTAATGGAGAGATGTAAAGGTCTTTGTCACTTAATTTACTCGATTTGGCCTTCTTGTTAGGCTATTACCTCCCAGGCTGCCTGCTGGTGGATTTAAATGTTTCTTGAGGGTCTTCTGGGACACAGAAAGAGACATAAATACACCAGAGCCACATGGGAGAAAGTGGAGCCGCATTCTGAGTTTAGGAAATGACATGAACTGACATCAGCGACAGACATCTGTGGATAACATTATGTTGTCTGTCTTCTACATGAGGAGACAAGAGGAGGAGGATTGGAGCAGGTCCTGACGTCAGACATTGCTCTTCCACCTTTTCTTCCTCTCGCTTATTCTCTCTGCACAGCTATTGGCTGAACTCTGGCTGAAAGAAGCTTTTCAATTAAACAGCATTGGTATTTGTTTTTTATATGTTCTTAGCTTAGGAAGTTTATCTGGGTTTCCGTATTTCAGGTTCAATAAATAACTCCATATATAAAGCAAACTACACCGCTAATTTATTATTATCCTGACAAAGAATCCACTGTTAAGGTGCATTGTGGGATAGAAAAATCCACATCAAAACTGAAAAAAAGCCACAACAGATGCAATGCTAAATCAGAAGTTATCCTAGCAAGTTTATCATTATTTCCATTTTAGTATAACCTTTTTGATTTTTGGTCTTGCATTGTGACTTTTGCATTTTGTTGATCCTTTGACACTAATGCATGCTGGATTATATTGTCAGGAATTGTCCAAACACGGAAAGTCAGACAAAAATATGCCTGAAATTCCGTAGGATTTTTCCCTTATGCCTGAATAAAAATCATTCAGTTGTTAAATTGAAACATTTTACAAATACTTTAATGTTATTTGATAGTAAAGCTTTTGCTAGTTAGCTTAAATTTAGCAAAACGAATAATGTAAACCAGGTTTATAATTTTTGCTAAAAAAAATTGAAAGTATTTATTTGATACTACAAAATGTAATGTTAACGCTGTTTGAATTTAGTAATGAAGGAGATCAGTTAGTGTAAATTTAGACAGATTGATAGATTTGATACTGAAACTAGCAGACTCAGCGGGATTAAACTGTAATCAAGCGGATTACAGATTAAACTGTAATCAAGCAGATTACAGTTTAATCCCGATTGAATTGTGGGAAAACATTTCATCTTCCAGTTTTCCTTCTCGATAATCTTCAGTGTCCCTATATATAAGGATACTGAAACCTCTCTAAATAATCTGACTGTATTTATTGAAGTTTCTATGTCGTGTTGTATGTAAAAGAAGAATGATGCATTTGAATGCAAATAACTGTATTTGATGTGGATTTGCATTTGTGCGAAAGACAGGAGTAGAAATTGAGTTTGTGTATATGCATATAATTTTCTAATATTATATCCTTATGGTATTATGCTTATAATCTTATGCATAATGCATTTATGTAAGGGAACTATACATATGCATTATAAATATAAGGGGAAAATACATATGGAAATGTATCCCACAGTTTCAGTCATCCAATTTTTACAGAGTTTAATGCAACTTGCCCTCCAACTTAGAAAAACTTCAACTTTAAGTTTTAAATTTTTCTGTTGAGTCCAAAAAATACCTCCTGGACTCTCTGTAACCTCAAATTGAGATGGTTTCCAGTCATTATGAAGGATAGAAATTTTTTCGAACAAAGATTTAACAGTCTCTATCGATGCAATATTTAGCCTTAATCTTTCTGATTTCTTCTCATTCAATGAGTTTGATAGTTATTTAATGACTGCACAGACCAACCATTGCTTCTGTCTGGGTATCAGCGGTTCTTCACTTTCAGTGTTGGCCTCAGTCTAACTATCCTCAGCTCCCCTTTGTTCTACATAAGTTATTCACCAGGGAGAATCAACTTCTGAGTTAGAGTCCGACTCTGTGACAGTGAATTTTCATCTGTCTCACATACATCTGACTTCAGAGATTTACAAGTTTTGACATCAGAATTGATAAAACTGTAACAATATCAAACATTGGAAGTTTGGTCCAGGAAGACTGGATCTTTTGTGCAGGCCCTGCAGTAGTCGGTCGTTGAGACCGAGTTTACGATGCGGCTCCTCTATAAATAGAGGAGCCGCATGGCCCACAAGAGCCCACTTGATTGGTGGCGTTTTTACTTGTATCTAAGAGATTTTGTTTAGAAGTTAGGGATAAAAATATTTTTGGCAAGAACTCAAGTGGTATCTGCTTCTTTTTCTGTGTAGGAGCAGTGTATAACAAGTGCTTTTCAAACACTTAACATTGGTTTATGTCTGTTTTTCTAAGCCAGTGGAATATTTGACAATGTTCTGATTCTAGTTTCATTTCTGGAAGATTCAGAAATTGCCTTTACCTAACAGTGCAAATCATGAGGTTAGGGGTAGGAGATCTTTGTGGTTGAAGTTTTGTTCACACTACTCTGGAAGTTGGGTTATGCCGTTTGTAAAAAAAGGAAATGCTTGGCAGGTGATGGAATGACCTTTACCAGTCTATGCGTCAGTTCCAGTTAAAGCACCAAAGTGGAGCGAGTTGGAAAATTGAAGTCTTGCTGGAGCCTGTCAGGAGAAAGGCTCTCTACCTACAAAAACCCCCCTTCAGCATAGATAGTTGATTTACAAAATAATTTCTGCCAACTAGTTAAGCATCATACTAGCCTCACCATTACCTTACTTCCTGAAATCTAATCTCACTTTATCTTTGTGTTCTTAACTAAAAGTACTAAAGTCTAATTGCAAAATGTAGCAATTACCACCTTTTTGGGTAAACATTAAATGTAATCCTTATGATAATATTTTTGCTCAGACTCCACACATTTTTCATGCCAATTTTCCATAAGTGAAGGATGACTGAGGGGATAAATTCATCAAATTTTGTTGAACTCCTGTTGTAAACATTGCATGATTAACTTAAAAATAATCTTAAATGTTAAGACATCTGATACATTAAAACACACTGAACAAGAAGTGTGATGCTGTCCTTAAAACAAGAAATAACTGAGGTGGATTTCCTCTTTTAATTACTCAGGTTTGACTTGAACTTACCTGCAAATTTTTGAGGAGTATATGAAATTTCTGGTACACAGAGAAAGATTTCTCTATGTCATAAATTTGGAGCCCCATCATTAAATTTTAGCAACTTCCTGGCCATTGAGGTGCATCTTTGTTGAGTCACAAAAAGATTTGAATTCAAGATTCATAATAAAAACTGCACATGCTAAAAAACCCTTTCTCTAATTGTATCAGTGCAGAGAATCTGTGGCATATGTATTCGACACACTTCAGACATTTTATTGAAAATCTCTTCACAATCACAGATTTCAGAATCAGTCAGTGAAAGTCATTCCAACAGAATCCGTTGTATATATTTGTTTCATAACAAATATGGCTCTCTCTTTTCTTCACGAGGTTTTGGCACAAAGTACAAACTGTGGGTGTATCTCAAAGTGTGTTTTGCTGACAGGCAGGTTACAGGTCAATGAATTTATAAAGGAAAAAGAGCATTTGAAAACATCAATGAAGGACAAGTTCACGCGGCACACTCTACTACACTGAGAGATCATAAATCAATCGAAACCCAAGGTTCATGATTCACAAGCTTTGCTTTGGGCAATGACGGTGCTCAGGAGCGTTGTGCGTTGGCTAACTTAAAGTTACCCACTGCTTTGAATCTTCTATTTATCTGGAGTTGTGTTTTCCAATATCATCTGCCCACTGTTTAACTTATTGTAATTTTCATGGCTATATATGTGGAAGTTCTTAAAAAGTAAGCTGGAGTTTGACAAACTTTTCCAAAACATGCTTCCCGTTACCTGAACTGAGCATCTGCTTCACTGTTCTCTGTCTTGATTTGGGGAGAACTGGTAGTGTAGATAAAATACATCAAATGCAACAAAATCATGACACAATAATCACAAAGCTGTTCATATTATGTGTAATTTAGGTACAGTGCATGTATACATGTAAGGACGAGAATATTCGTGGGTTTCCTATCGGAGCTTTTAATTGTCTGTTCCTTTGTTGTTGACAACACGTCCTTTTGAGCAGTTCCTCACAGAACAAAATAGTTCTATGTACAACATACTATCACCAGTCAGTTTTCTGGTCCAGATTCAAGTGAACATTGCAGCAAAAGTTGCTTGGTAAACCCAAGAAAAGACTCAAATCTTTGAAGATGAAACAAAAATGTAACGAACGTTAATGTCTTCACAGATCCATTGAAGTGGAACTTATTTTTATGGCCTGGAGTTCATCTTTACCTTCTAACATAATCCCAGCACTGTCACTGGTGCAGCCCTTGACTGTTCCCTTTATTAAATAATCCCCTCACTGCGCTTGCTCCTCCACACCACCAGGGCCGTCATGAGGAGGGTGACCAGGATGGGAACCACTATGAAAGGACCCAAAATGCGTTTTGGAGGGTCCCTGAGTTGTCGTCCAGACACTGGGCAGTCATGGAAGTAGAGCCTGTGGACCTGGATGAAGAACGCATCCACCAGTCGATTGGGCCAGTAACAGCTCATGTTCATTGCCAACAGGTGTGTGCAGTTTGTTAGCTCTTCATAGAATCTGCAAGGTGAAAACACACAAAGCAAACCAGTCACACACTGAAGAAAATAAATGCATTTTCTCACCATCTGCTCTCCAAGAGCGCAAATAGTGTACGGTTTGCCATAAAACATGTAGGAAACACAGAAAACCTGCTGATAAGAATACTCTGGTCAGACAAAGACCCTGAAGATACACTCAGAGCTGTATGTTTAGATAAAATATATTAGTTTTTGAAAATGGCTCAGTCAAAAACCCGCTCTAAATTATAAAAAAGCAAGACTTAAACTTTAAAATTCACTCACACACTCGACCCAATCTGACCGAGCCTGAGAACTTTTGCAAAATGTCAGTCTGCATGATCAAATCTGGTAAAGACATACCAAATTGGCTTGAAGTTTAAAAGTTAATGTAATGCTAATGCTAATGGGGTCTGATGTTGATTGGTTGTCAGACATAAAACTGGTGGATTAGAACTAGTCTCTTTGTTTAGGGTAATTCCTTAGGGAGAAAAATAAAAGTTAGTAACAAGTGTTTCAGTTGCTTCTTCATGTTGTTTTGAGTGTAAGACACATATTAAATAATGCCAATCAAAGTATATTTTTGTGTTTTTTCCTCACAAAGAAATTGTCCATTTGTCTAACAGCACATCAACTCAGGTTGGCCTGGAAGCAACAAGTATTCTTGTTTGCAGCTGTTAGCTTTCTGCCTGCAGAAATGCACCTTTACAACTGTCATAAAATAAGATAAACATGTCTTTTATGAGATGTTTTGTAGGAATGAGACACTATTTTAGTGTTTTTGAATGTGGAGCACATTTCTTATTTTAATTGCTTATGCATATTGATAAACTCACACTTATTTATATTTTGTTTGCTGAAAACATCTGTGTACTGTGGCTGGAAATTCGTTTAATGAGACCTTTGGGACTGACCTGAAAGACGAAAGTTGCGGAACTTAAAAGCAGGCACTTTCTAAAATACTTAACATTCCTTAAGGGAACTGCAGAGTTGGGTAATATTCCCTCTGGACGCCTTCTACAAGTGACTTCCATCATTAGTATGTAATCCATCAGGTTCATATTTCTCAAGCTAAAGAATTTGCCCTTTGACGTTTGATTTGTGCTACGAAGCTCAGATTTAAGATGTTCTGGTAACATCTTTTGATGATGCACTCTTGAATTAGGTCGTTTTTCATGCAACAACAGCTGGAGGCTGTTTTGCATGGTACAATCACAACAGAGCACTGTGTGCAGCTTCTGGTGGCGGGTTCACTCCGTCTGGGTGTTTACGTCTTTCTTCTGCTGTTTCCTTGAAGCTTTACAAATCAGTTGTGGTAGACAAAGAGAGAGAGAGAGAGAGAGAGAGAGAACAAATGAATTCTGGTCCTGCTGCTGGTCTAATGAGCGTTGGGGTCTGAGGGGATGTTTCCGAGTCACGGATGGGAAGAAGACACAGCGGAGTCGAGACAGGAGGAATGAACAAAGAGAGATGCCCTTGCAGCTCATCCCATGTAGCGAATGTTAGGATCGAATTCAACCTGACAGTGTGGCAACTTTGTGAGTTTCTGTGTGTATTTCTGTTTCTACACACAGTTCACCAATGGACTGAATGCATTGCTCTATATAACTTGTGTCAAACACTCATTTTACTATGAAGTCTGCTCAAGCAAAGACAATTTGCGTTTCTGAGCAGCATTCACGTCAGACACCTGGCTTTAGTGTTATCCTACAGTCATGTGGGAAAGTTAGTTCGGTTATGGGGATTAAGGTAAAACGTTTGCTTTTGCATTTATTGCTGATAAAATATCTACATAATTAGATTACATACCTTTAAAAAGCATAAAAGAGCAATAATTATGAAATATGCAAGAAAATATTTACCTAAAATTTGCATGTCTGGATTCTCATCAGGTCTTTCTCCAAAAGTATGAATGTTAGGTTAATTGATCTTTTTATATTGCTCTTAAGTGTGTGTGGGTGTGTGGGTGCATGTGTGTGTCTGTGTGTGGGTGCGTGCGCGCCTGTGCGTGTGGGAGTCTCAGTTGTACCAAAGTTTCTGCCCAGTGACCACTATACACACACACCAGCCTCCCATTGATCTCAGACGAACAAGCAGATAAAGAAAGATTTTCTTTAATTGAGCTCACTAGAGCTCAATCAGCTCTCTGAAATTAATTATATAAATTTAATAGGACAAGAAAAAAAAATCTTTATGACACTTAAATCTAATTTGCATAATCATTTGGAACACGGTGTAATCTGAATTAGGCAGACAAAATGCATCCTGAGTAGTTTGATCTATTAACTGAGAAGCACAAAGTGAATAAGTAAAACCTTGACAGTGAAGAAATAAAAGAAACACACAGAAAAAGCTCTGCATTAACTGGAGAACTGATTCATATTAATCCTTATAGCATCACAAAGGCAGCTAGCTGAAGAAGACAAGTATGTCACCAGATACATGTGGTGTTTATAAGAAAATAATGATGCTTTATGACAAGAAGTGCAGCATTTATCTTTGCAAACTGCTGGTGAGTCGAGTTATTCACACAGACTGCCAACAGATATCGTTATCTCCTCTGTTATGAAGTTTCACAGTGCAGTTTAGATGAATAATTCTTATTCTCAATTCGCTTGCATCCACATGCATACAACACTCCTGCCCTTCATCTTATAATCTCTGCTGGCTTTCAATATGTCACATTTTTCCACCTGGAAAACTAAGATGCCTTTTGGGAATGGCCTTTTCAGAGAATAACCACACATTCTAGTTGTTTGTATTATTCTGCTCTTGCTATAACCTCAGACTCACATTAAATTTAAAGCAGATTAACTTCAGCCGTGTTAAAGCTCTCTTGAAAATAACATACAGACGGGCGAATATCTCTGGGGTCCCACCATGCTGCTAGTCGGGCGTTTAGTCTGGCTATTTCTGTGTAAAGAACACAGAAGTTTTATGTTTTTGCATGAGGCTGCTTTGACATCGCAGCAGGTGTTCTAAGACTGAGTGAAGGCAACAAATGTTCAGAATAAAAGTGCAAAAATGTTTCAGTTTTCACTGTCATGTCTCGGAGTTTCAAACCTGTAGCAGAGTTAGTTTGAAAAACCTTTAAGTTGCAATTACAGCTGCTTCACATTCACATTAGTTTACCAACTATTGCTAAATGAACTGAAGGGAATGGTGTCAAACTTAAAAAGGTGGATCTCCTATGATTTAGTCGTCAAATCGTTACCAGACTGCAACCAGTGAACAATTAAAAAGTCAAGCCTTGTTGTGTTTTTGGAGCTTCGACAACATCAGCCCTCAGGGATGATTCTTCTAATTATTTTTAACAGCAGTGATATGCTAATTGTCCTTTTGTTTATTATAATAAAGTGGAACATGTGATAAGACACCCCCTACAAGAGAAGTGGGTCAGGAGGCACCAACGTCTTTTAACAGGAGCAGCAACAGGAGGATTAAAGATTCATGTAATTTTACACATGAATGCCCACCCACAAAGATTTTCCAGTTTCCAGTTTGAGTACATAACCTGATATGACTGTTCCACTTCTCATTAATGCCAAGAGAAACTACTTCCTGATCTCTAGTCCAAATAATTTATTCCCTTAAGATCCACTGGTAAATTACAGAGCCTGAAATCAACCTGTTTAGTAACTAAATGACAAAATTTATCATTGCTTGTTCTGACTATGGAAATATTTTCAATTAATTTGATGTTAATGGGGAACTTCCAAGCAAACGATATTTGGCTAAAATTATGTTTTTTGGCTTCCAGTGTAATAAATTTAATCTTTAATCAAATATAATTTTTAGTATTTTTATTTGTATTTCAATATGAACCAAATCACTGACATAAAACTAAGGAATGTTACTCTGAAGAAAGTTTTATCTGAAATAGTCCAACCTCTATCCAGATATTATACTTCTATTTCTTCTGCAGACAAATGATGCTTGAATTTAATTAAAGTTGAGGCATTGTTTAACATTTTTATCTGTTACTGGAGACTCAATCCTCCAAAAGATGGAAGACAGTGCCTAACTTTAAAAGTATTACTTTTACTATTCTTTGTGAAGTAAAACACTGCTGTCCATGTGTCTTTAAAATACCCCAAAGCTGTTTTTAGTTTGCTGTTTTTCTCATCCAGTAAGAGTTCATCTTTCAAACCTTTGCAACCCGTGGCAACGTGTTTTGGATTGGATGGAGACAGGAAGCTTTAACTACTTTACTTTTATTTTATTCTTTGCCTTGAGGGAGTAACAAATAAGCTTACCTAACTAACAAAATATTTTTCCAATCACTTTAGTCTTGTTCTTACTTATTTATCAGGCTTATCTAAATTTTCTTTAAAATCCTCATGGTGTCTGATGGTATTAATATATTTTAAGACACATCTGTAGAAAGATATTTCAAGTTCCATCACTTTTTTTTTTAGAATTTTATATTACACAAAGAGATAGAGCAGCAGATTCATACAGCATGCACAGTTCTCCATTTACTGCTATTGATATTTTCATTTCCCTTTTGCATTTTGTGAAAACCAGAATATTACACTAGTGTACATCAGCTTGGAAACAATAATCAAGTATTGCACTTTTTCCACATTATGTAACATTACACACGCACACAAATGTAATGTATTTCAGATGGATTTATGTAATAAATCAACAGAACAACAGAAAGGAGTATATAATTGTGAACGGGGAGGAGGAATCTGAAAAGTGTGTCATGTGTGTCTGTAATCTGATATCCTTCAATAAAATCCAAGGAAATTAACTAGTGGTAATAAGTAAATGTGTATAAATCCAACTGTCCTGTGGAGGAATAAGAGGTTTTTTAGAGAACATTAACCAATAAACCAATAAATAAACATTAATCAATAAACAACTTCATGAAGAGCAAACAATACAGTAAAGAAACTCCAGGGATGAGGTTGTTTTGAAGTTTATACAAGGTTTTTTTCAATACACCATCTAAAAGTGGGAAAACAACTGGAAACCTACCAAGACCTGGTAGAT